TTATCAGCAACTCAGAAATGACTGCCTTAGAATTTGTTTTAACCTTGAACTCTTTCCAATGATCTAAGCTCTTAAAATTTAGATATTAATTATTAAGTATATTTCAAGTGGCTGTTATTACATTTCATTTTTTTTTCAAAGACCTTATTTATTTATTTGACAGAGAGAGACACAGTGACTGAGGGAACACAAGCAGGGGGAGTGGGAGAGGGAGAAGCAGGCTCCCTGTGGAGCAGGGAGCCCAATGTGGGGCTCGATCCCAGGACCCCGGGATCATGACCCGAGCCGAAGGCAGAAGCTCAACCAGCTGAGCCACTCAGGCGCCCCATTACATTTCATATTTTTAAAAGCTCATGACTAGAGAGGGAACTCATGCACAGTAAAAATAATGCCATTATCAACAAGTCTTGTTGGAACTTTATAATGCCATTCTCAATAAAATTAATGACTTAACCATAAAATCAAATCCAAATGTGAATTAATTATGGTTATAGAAAAGCATCAAGAGACCAGAAAAAAAAAAGATAGTATTCCCCTGCCATAAATCAAAGCATTAAAGTGCACTGAAACCTATGTGCATCCTTAATATTTTACTAAGGAAAATACAAGCCTTTGTTACATCAATGCATTGCCACTATATCCTTATGCCCCAGGAAGCTTAAACTGAAAGCTAGAAAGCATAATGTAGGGAATTTTAGAACTGAAAGGAGACTGAGCTCTTAATATAGGCAGTCCAACTCATGAGTTAGATTTACAATTTTTCAGTGGCAGCAAGCCTCAGCTCCTAGTCAGCCCTGCAATCACGAGGGTAAACAACTGATAAGCTTACAACCACTCTTTATCCATTCAGTTTTTCGCTTTCAGTACAATATTCAATAAATTACATGAGATATTCAAAACTTTTATAGTAAAATGAGCTTTGATAGATTTTGCCCAACTGTAGGCTAATGTAAGTATTGTGAGCATATGTAACATAGATGTATTGAATGCCTTTTCAAATTATATTTTCAATTTATGATGGGTTTACCAGGACATAACCCCATCATAAGTAGAGGAAGATCTGTACAGTAATTTTCAAATTGGTATTCTATATAGTTATATTCTAGATGTTAACAGGTTGGCCATGAGAAAATAGGCTTTCTGGCCAGGTAAGACCTTTTAACCTTATGTGTTCCTAAATTATTTGTCAAGGAACACTGTTTTGGGGGGCAGTAAGGCTGTTACTGGATTGAGCACAGTGTTTAGGGGAAACATCAGTTTGGAAAATTCTGATCTTATGAAATTCCCTTTAACGGATGACAAAACTGACGCCTAGAGATCACATCTGGTTAGCAGGAGAAAAAAAGAATGCGAACAAAATCTTTCATTCCCAGGCCGGAACTCTTTTCATTTTAAGTACAAAATAGGCTCTTTAAACTGTATATAGTCAAACATTTAATTTACATTTAACATTTTGGTTATGGTGTCACATTTTCTGGTTTGTGTACTAACTCAGGTGTTTTTAATTCCTTCAAGACCTGGGCTCCTAATAATTAGACCCACCTGAAGATTTACTATTGTTTAGTACTAATGAGGAATGATTTCGTTCAGAGTGGCAGCTTAAAGTAATCACTGGAATAAAGCATTTGTATTACAACTGGTTTTAATTTACCCTTGTTACAACTTGTCAGCTCAACTAAATCACTGTGTTAGCAGGTGAATTTCTTAGCATATAATGTCAACATATGCTGTCCATGAGAATATAGGAGATCTGCCTGCGTAGATGACAGTCAGCAACAACAAAATTGAGAGATTTTTGTCTTTCTACAGTTCTGGGCTTGTCAGGCAAACACTTAGTTTCCTATCTTTTTGGTAATTATCAAAAAAATGTTTTGATTGCTTTAACTGCAGTGTCCAAATCAGATTATCACAGTATATTTCTCAAACTCCACGGAACTGTAAGATAGTGTAAGAAACACAATTCGTTCAGCTTTAAAAGTAGTTATGTACCACTCACCCTCCCCTCTCAGGGTAGGAGAGAAAAATGGGAGAGACCCAACAAGTAACTCCTGTTATGCTGCAACTTTAAAAGGCTTGAGAATCAAAGGTGATAATGGTTAACAACTTCCTTATGACTACCCTGACTTCCTCTAATAAACTTCTGCACTCCTTTCGAACCTCCCCTCATGGAATATTAACTATGGCAGGTATTCATGTCTCCTCAATCTTAAAAGAACCCAGTAGATGAATGACACCGCACGAAGCCTGGATTCCACCAACAAAGAGGTTACTCTGCGCGCCTTTACCGCACAGGTGCGACCTCCACCCCAACCTTGCGCACCGCTGGGCCCCAGCGCAGGAGGCTCGGGAGCGGCCACCCCTGCCTGGGGCCGCCCTGCAGCCTCCGCCCGGCCCCGGCCCACCGAACCCCCGCGCAGCTCCCGCCTCTCCGACACCGGAGGGCGGCCGGCCGGTTTCCAGGCTCCAGGCGGGGCCAGGGCGGCAACACCCCGGACGCCACAGCTGCTTGCCCCGAGGGGCGTCCCCGCGGCTCCGGAACCAGCCAGGCCGAGGAGGCCGCCCAGGGTCGGCAGCCGGCCTCGCGACCGCGCTGGGGGCAGGGACGCTGTTACCTGCTGTGGGCTCGGCCGCTTCCCGCCGGCGCCGCTCTCCTGGCAACCGCGGCAGCGACGCAGAGGCCGGGAGCCGAAGGGCCTAGTGACAGCTCCCAGTGTGCACTGCGCCCGCGCCCACGCCGGCGTCGACGTCGACGGCCCTCGATCCCCGCCCCCGGTCCGTGCCTCGCCTCCCGGCGCTAGTTGTCGCCACAGCGCCCTCGAGCGGACAGTCGGGGAAGCGGCCTATAGCCACCAACTACGGGGATGGTGTTTCCAACTCGCCAGCGCCAGCAACATCTTAATGGAGAGTTGGAAGGAATGCTAGGAATTGAGGACAGCTTTTATATATTAAACAATCATTTAAGTGTTATTTAAACGATTCCTCGATATTTCATATGAGGAATTTGAGGCCCAGAGAAGTTGGGAGACTGGTGAAGTTAGGAGATAAATAGTTGTTAAAAGATTTGGACACATTTTGAGTTTATTCTCTCTCTAAATCATGTAGTAACTACACGGAAGATTGCATTGTTTTGCCTAAACCGTAGGGTCAAAGAAAAAAAAAGATTGTTTTTCACAAATGTGTGACTATATATTAAGTATAACAATCTTTTTTTTTTAAAGATTTTATTCACTTATTTGAGAGAGAGAGCAAGCACGAGAGGGGGTAGGGTGAGAAGGAGAAGTGGACTCCTCCCTGAGCAGGGAGCCCGATGCGGGACTCGGTAGTCGCTTAACCAACCACCCAGGCGCCCTGAAATATAGCAATCTTTAAAAATAATCAAACACCAAGTACGAAGAGCATGTTGTGCTAAGACAAATATTTCAATAGAATGTGGCAGTATTTAAGACTTAAGCTTTGGGGGCGCCTGGGTGGCTCAGTCGGTTAAGCGGCTGCCTTCAGCTCAGGCCATGATCTCAGGGTCCTGGGATCAAGCCCCGCATCAGGCTCCCTGCTCCATGGGGAGCCTGCCCCTCCCCCACCTCTCTCCCTCTGCCTTTCCCTGTGCTCTTTCTCTCTCAAATAAATAAATCTTAAAAAAAAAAAAGACTTAAGCTTTGAGAACTAAAGGTAGAAGATACTAGGAGTTGAAATCATCACCCATGATCACCATTATTTGAAGTGGAATAGTGGAAAACAATTCTTTTAACTACGTTGTTACCTCCATCCATGATTTTGAATTACTGTGGTGGATACAGGAATTTGTGAAGCACCACAATAAACTTTAAGAACTGCAAATACTGACTTTAAGAAGATTTGTCTTAAAATAGTATCTCTAGGGATGTGGATTTGTTATTTGGAAAATCTTCGCATTAAGAGGCTATCTATAAACATGATTTTCTGAATACAAGCCATCGTTTCTCTTTTTAAAACCTAACAGCCTCTTGTTTTTGTTTTGTTTTGTTTTTAAGATATTATTTTTAAGTAATCTCTACACCCAACCTTGTCTCGAACTTAACCTGGAAATCAAGCCTCCAATGCTCCACCAACCAAGCCAGCCAAGCACCCTCAGCCTCTTGTTTTTAAAGAATTCTTTATTGTAAATTTACCACCCTAGCCTTAAATTTTAGTATTTCCCCATTTTAAGTATCCCCCTTTTAAGTACTTACATTATAGTAGAGCCTTTTCTTTACTAGGTCAAACTTTCCGAAATTATCTTCTAGAAGTATTAAGATTGACTTCTGTGAATCAGTTTTTACTTCTGCAAAACATGACGAGTGGAAAAGTACCTGTGGAATCATTCTCATCCTCGTTTTTTCAAAGGTTATAGGAATGGCTAATCCTGTGATTCATGGTACTGGATTTAACCACACTCTCTTCTATATAGATAACAGAAAACTTCTTAACATTTTTTGCAACTGTTTCTATCTTAGAGCAGTTGTGTCTAAATCCAGAAGCCATGCCAGGTCAATCCTGGACGTTTGTTGTCTCAGAGGAGAGTTACCAAAGGACTGACAGGGTTCGTAAAAAAGATACTGTAGTTTATTAAAAAACGAAACAAGATTGTGTTTTGGGTGGAGAAATCTGCTCTCGAACCTCCTGGGGCCAGTGCCCGCCTCTATCTCCTCCTTCCGTCATCCCCCTCTCTTTCAGCCTCATTCTTACCCACTCTAGGCAAAGGAGTGTACTTGGGCTCGGATTTTTAAGGTCACATCCTGGGAGACTAACGCACCGGGCCACGCCCACAAGAAGAAGAGTGGGAGGACAGTTTGGCTCTCCCTGCCCACCTTTGTTCCCGCTCAGACACCAGCCAGGATTTGAAAACGCTCACGCCCCCGGGTCGAGATTTCGCGGCAGCGAGTTCTCCGCCCGGCAGGTGGCGCTGTGGGCTGGCGGGCTGTCTCCATCCCGCGATCTGGTCGCGGAGACCCTCCCCGCCGCCACTGCCGCCGCCGTCGCACGTGCAGCCGCTTCTGGCCGTGGTAGCCTGTATTCGCCTGAACCTGCGGCTGGGCGCCGGCCATGGCTGCACCTGCGGCGGGGACGCACGTGTTCCTGGAGGTGCGGAGACGGCTGCAGAGCGCGCTGCTGATCCTGGGGTAAGGCCGGCGCTGGGCGTGTGGGCATCTAGGCGCAGTGCGTAGTCTGTTGTTTCTGCCGGTCAGGGAGCCTCCGCCTCCCTCAAAGGGCGGAGTTCTGAGTTTCTTTCCAGTTGCTTAGAGCCTGTCATTTACTCAAAGTGGAGTTTTCCCTCCTACCCCGTGCTTTTATCGCCCCCCCCCCCCCGCCCCGGTAATCTCGGCATCCCCTGGGAGCTTTTTAGAAATGCAGTCTCAGCCCCACACCAGACCTGTGGAACCAGAACTTATATTTTAACACGCTTTCCAGGACTCAAAATACACACTTTGTTTGAGGAGCACTGATGTAACATAACAGTGCCAGGGTTTTCCAAAAACAGTGCAAAACAAAAACAAACAAACAAAAAAAACCCTTGCCTTCTTTTTGGGATCCTCAGAGGATAAAGTCCAGTGTGAGAGCTTCCTATTTTGTACATAAACTCGGGTTGTTGTTTTTTTCTCCCCACGCTGTTGTCTGCAGAAAAACTGACACATTCACTGAACGACTAACCAAGGTTACAGACTTCTTATTGGAGCTCATTCTTGTATTCATATTGCGCGTTCCAATGAGAAGTCAGCAAACGTTTAACTTGTTATTCACTACACATTCAAGAAACTTTTAGGAGAAATGGTCCCTTGTTTGTTTGGTAGTACGTGACCCCCTCGATTATTCCCTTGTGACTGCCGTTTCAAATAGAGTAAATTAGATGTTAAAATCTTGAAATTTTTACTACGCGGAGCCACTCAAGAGGTAGGTTGATGCTTTCTTTTCCTTTATCGGCCTTTTCCTTAAATCGGCCAAGTATAGGTGTGGCAGTTTGGAAATTTGGCATGAGAACTGAATTCAAATCCTAGCGTCTTCGCTGGAGTAGAGTCGTTTAATCTGAATTTTTTCAATTGTAAAATATGGGTAATATTTATTAGTCTTTTTTCTTTCTCTTTTTCTTCTCTGTTTCTCCCTCTCCATCTCAAATCATAAGTTCAGATAAGTGTCTCCAATTCCAGTCCACCCTGTAGGGTTATTAGCAGCCCCAGTCTTAAAACAAAAACAAGACAAAGTCCCTACTTCCTCTCATCAAAGGGGCCCTTCAAAGTTCCCCTAGGTTACTGTCCCTTGTTTAAGCAAGTGAAGAAACCTGACTTTGCTAGACTGACTACTGGTTTGTCCCTAATGGTCTTTGGCTGTTGAGTTTTATCACCAACTTGCCCCTCATAAAAGCAAAAGCAACCATTCTTCTGATTTCATTAAACAAAGATTGGTTTTGCCATTTCATGAACTATATATAAATGGATTCATACAGTATGTACTTTTTTGATTCTGGCTGCTTTCCTTCAACAGTGCTTCTGAGATTCGTGTTTCATCTGTGTCATTGCACATGACAGTCTATTTTTTTCTGGCTGAGTAGTTTTCTACTGTATGAATATAAAATATGTTTACCCATTCTATTGCTGGATATTTTGTGTGTTTCTAGAACTTGATTATTATGAATAAAGTTGCTATAGCATTTTAGTGGTCATACATTTTCATTTTACCTAATTCTGTAATAGTCCAAAAGTCTATACCTTTTCATTTGGTTTTTGTTAATTCATACGTGTTCCTTTGGAAAGTGTCTTCTGATTTTTTGCCATTATAAAAAATCAGGTGGTTTGTCTTATTGTTGAATTTAAAGAGTTCTTTCTAGAGTCTGGAAATAAGACTGTTCTTATTTATGCCTTGTAAATATATGAATACTTGTTCCCAATCAGAAATTTACCTTTTCATTTTCTTAATAGTGTCTTTTCAGGAAGAGAAGATTTTTAATTACAATGAACTTCAGTTTATTGCATCTTTTCTTTAATGGTTAGTGTTGTTCGTGTCTTAAAGAAATCTTTACTTACCTCAAGGTTGTAAAGTTTTTTCCTGTGTTTATTTTCTAGGAGTTAGTTTTAGCTTTTATAGTTAGGTGAAATTCATTTTTTGTGTTTGGAGCGAGATAGTCAAATTTCATTTTCTTTTTTCTGTAAGGATATCTGGTAGTTCCATCGCCATTAGTTTAAAAGAGTGCCATTTCTCCCATCGAAATAACACAATGTCTTTGTCAGAAAACCTTTGTACTGTTTGGCATCACATATCTCTTTCTATCCTTTTACTGTTAACGTATGCCTTTAATATATAAATTTTTAAAAAGCATATGCTGGGTTGAGTTTTTCTGAGTCCATTCTGATAATCTCTGCATTTTAAATTTTTAGTCTGTTTACAGTTGCTGTAAATGATATGATTGAGTTTTATTCTTGTTCCTAAACTTAAATGTTTCTGATGAGGGAGCAGAAGGCTAGCTGATAACCTGCATCCTCCCCCTACCTCCCACTCTTGGGTAGGACGTTTGTGACATTCTTCCAGGAATCTCCCACTAAATGTTAATACCTTGCTAGAGGGGAAAGCAGCCTTGGCTTGACAATGGCAAGACCTCTGATATCTTTTATCTCGTAGGTTGGAGCTCTTTAGCATATGAAAGTTCTTTTGAAACCTCCCTTTTTCCTAAATTCCCCCAACTCCAGAGTATAATCAGCCACTTCTCAAGACCTCGGTGCAGCAGCTGTTTCTGCCCAAAGGTCCTTTCCCCATGCTTTAATAAACCACCATTTTGCACCAAAGACGTCTCAAGAATTCTTTCTTGGTCGTCAGCTCTGAACCTCATCCCACCGAACCTCACGTATATTCCAAAACCCCATCATTTCTAGCATTTTATCACTAGGTATGATGAAATTGACTTTTGGCGAATCTGTGTGGTAAATTGCATGTTTCCTTTCTATTCCTAGCATACTATGGGTTTTCATCATTAATAGATACTGTATTTTCTGAAATGATTTGTGCATGTATCGTGATGGTCATTTTTTTCCTTTCATATTTGCATCTGTGAATTGCAATAGAAAAATCTGTTTATATGAAGCCATTTTAGTATGCCTGGGGTAAACCTTCAGTCCACAGATGTTTACTGAGTTCCTATTCTCATTCCGAAAACTCAGATTCTAAGTGCTGGAATCCAGCTATGAAGAGTGACAAGGGCAAAGAAAAATATACTTGGCTGTCGTTGAGCTTATAGTCTAATGGTGGCAGTGGGTGAGAGGTGAGCAGAAATTATACAAAATAAATAAAATATATATGATATTGAATGGAGATAAGTACATAAAAAAAAATAAAACAAAAAGGGATAGGGAGAAAAAAGTATAACCCCTTATTCCAAATGAGAAAGCAACACTTGAGTAATAAACCCGAAGGGGAGAGGTTTAGAACTGTATAATATGTGGTGAAAGACTGTTTCCCTCTGAGAGAATAGCAAGTTTGAAGGGGTGCCAAGTTCAGAGAGATGTGGGTGGGCTGGTGGAGCGCATAGTAAAGGGTCTTACAGAGGTATGTTAGTAAATGTTTAACAACCTGCATTCTGAGAAAGCCAGTGAAACTAACAAAAAATCTTCCCGATTTGCAGCATTTACTGATTCCTGTGGTGTAGATATTTTCACTATGGGTGATGTCAAGCTACCAAAGTGATGTCAACCAGTTTGCAAAATGCCTGGAATTTTAACATCTGTCTCTAGTATATTACTGGGTCTTAGGAGCCATTGAAAGAATTTTAGCTTGTATTCAGAGTGAGATGGGAAGTCATTGGATAATTTCAAGCGGGGTGTGGTACCTGAAAGAATATAAGTTCACAGTGAAGAAAGCCTCAAGTATGGAAAAGGTGTGGACAGTTAGGGTTGCAAACACTTTGTTTTTGGACAGTCTCAACCTTGAGAGTAAGTTACTGTCACTGCTGAATACATTACTGTGGATTTCCTACAAATAAGAACATTCCCCCATATAACCACATACAGCCTTCAAAGCTGGGGAATAAGTTACTACCATCTTATACTCAGACCTCACTCAAATTTTCCCACATGTCTACATAATATCTATAATAGCCAAAGAACCCAGTTCAGAATCATGCGTTGCATTTCATTGTGTTTCCTTAGTCTCTTAAAATTGGAAGAATTCCTCAGTTTCCCTTGACCTTCACAATCTTGACACTTCTGAAGTTTACAGCCTTACCATTTGGTTTGTTTCATGTTGCCTCAAGATTAGGTTCAGGTTATACATCTTTGGCGGGAATATCACAGAAGTGATGCTGTGTTCTCATTACATCCTATCAGGTGTCACATAAATTTGACTTATTCCATTAAAGTTCATATTAACTTTGAGCATGTAGATAAGATGATGTCTGCCTTCGCCACCATAAAGTTACTTTTTTTTTTTTTTTGAGGCTTTAACATTTTTATTTAGGAAAAGATTGAGTGCGAAGCTATAATGGTTCAACCTAAACCATCCCATTTTCAATAGTGGAGTCAATTTATTCAGAATATTTTTCCTTGTCTATAAAAAACAAATTGAACAGTATTTTAATGATAAGGAAATACAAACAGACTTTAGCCAGTGTGCACTATCATAAAAGAAATAGGATGGTCTTTCCCTTCCCCTCCCTCAGCCAAAGAGAATACTGCAAACTTTAAGAACCCCACCAACTATCATCAGAGTACCTGCAGAACAAGGGTAGTGCAGGATGAAACTATTTCTCTATATTCCAGAAGGCAGAAGCGTGGGTGCTCTGGCTTTACAAGTAAAAGTAGCACAGGCAGGCAAAAGCTCACAGTAAATACACAACAGAACGGGGGCCTCGGTGAAGTTGTCTGACTGGGTTACTGCTTTGACAGGAAAGAAGAAAGACAAATCTGAAGTGTAGTAAACACACACACACACACACACACACACACACCTTTTGTCACATTTACAGGAATTCAAACCTTTTGTATTCCCATGCTCATGGGTAGTTTTGATATACACTGTAAAGAGCTGCAATATTCAGGAAGAATACTGTAAGGTTGACAAAGGACAGGAGAATTCTTCATACTTCTGATATCTCAGATTTGCTGAGTCCAATAGCCAATTCTGACTGTTCCTACTCTTACTG